GATTACCTTTGCGTCATTGGGTTGTTGTTAAGGTTCCGTGAGAAAATGTGAGTGGTGCTGCCAGAGCTCCCCGCGGTCATGGTGGAGATGTTCCCTGGGCTGTCCGGTCAGCATCTGGAGCCTCATGGAGTCACCCAACTCTTGAATCGGCCAGAGAAAGTGAGGAACTGGAATTTAGTTGTTCTTAGTTTTACGTAATTTAAATGTAAGCATTTACAGGTGGCCAGTGGCTGCCTCACTGGATGCTGGTAGTGGCTGGCAGGTAGGACGGCTTGATGGGGGTCAGCTGCAGAGAAGGAGCCGGCCAGGAAGCCTGGAGCCCCTGGAGCCTGCCCCCCACCTGGGCTTTTACTGGCCTCGTTCTTGGGACAGATGCGGAAAATGGGGGGAGTCTGTGAGGGCGGAGCCAGATTGGGCATGGAGCTCTGCATTGGCCTGCAGGGGAGGGTCACTTGGAGGCTTCTCATCACCACACTCACCCTCCCAGCCTTCCCCACCTTCCTTCTAGAAGCAGCTGGAGGGAGCCCGAAGTGTGGGGTGCGGGGAGAGGGGGGAGAGAGAGAGAGAGAGAGAGAGAGAGAGAAAGAGAGAGTGTGTGAGTGTGTGTGTGTGTGTGTGTGTGTGTGTGTGTGTGTGTGTGAGATCTGCAGCGACCCCTTGTGGCCACTTGGATAGCCGCCGCACTAGGGAGCAGGTTACTACTGGAAGGTCATTCTTAGCCCACCCAGCTTCCATTTTTCACAAAGCCCAGCCTTGCCTTCCAGAGAGACAGGCTTATACTCAGTACAGCCTTTGTGCTTTTTATTTTCGAAATGCCTCCATTATTCTATTTTGCCACACTGCCTCGTGATTGTTTCATTGTCTTTCCGGTCTGTGACCTCCTCAAAGGCAAGGGCCAGGTCTAATTCCTGTCTGTGTCTCCAGGCCTCGCACACTTTGAGCTTCAAGATACACCAGACGTAACTGTTAGGAGTTCTGAGGCCAGATAGATCTGGGTTCAAATCTAGATTCTGTTGCTTACTAAACAGAGGACCTGGGGGCAGTGGCTTTAATCTCACTGAACTCAGGTGTGCAGCCTGTGACCAGGCCATGATGACCTCTGACTTCTAGCATCGTGGAGAGGATCCCGCGGTCGCACACACGACATTCTGCATACTCGCTCGCCTCTCCGCCCGAAAGGGAACCCACCCTCCGTCTTCTTAGGAGCCGCGTACTCTCAGCGTCATTCTAGCTTTTCTGTCTCGGCATATCCGGTGGACGGTGTCTGTTTTCATTCTGTCTGTCTGTTCCCATTGTTCCTGCAGACTACCCCATCCTGTCTTAAACACTGGGCGCCAGGGCACGGGAGGGCTCTCCTGGTTTTCGTCCCCGTTTTCTGGCTGCACTCCTTCTGGCTCTTTCAGCCTCCCTCCTCTGGCAACTTTGAATGAGTTCCGTGGACCCTGTCCCCAGGACCTTTCTCTCTGTACTCTACACTCTAGCACAAGTATTCTCATCTGTGATCGTGGTCTAAGTGACGGCCTCTAAGGCAATGAGTCCCGAGCGCGTCTTTCTAACACATTCTGCAATCCTGCATTTGGGGTATGAAACAGCTTACCTGGGGGATGAAATGTAATGGGCGTGCAGGACGGGAAAAGTAAGGACATGGAGATGGGGGTGGGCTCGTGATTCAAAGGAGCAGCACAGATGAAGAGGAGGCCCCCCAGGGAACTGGCCACCTCCCCCTGCCATGAAGGAAGGAATGAAGGTGCTGAATTATTTGGATGCGAGGCTCAGGGTCAACCGAGCACCTTCCTGTTGGGGAAACTCAGCTAGAATCCACTGATTAGGAATGCCCACCGTGCTTCCCCATCTGTGTGGCAACGGGGCGCATAGAGAAAGTTCTGTTTAGACAGAACACCGGGTAACAGGATAATATACACGGGGTCTTGGAGGCTCCTTAAACTCAGTATGTCAAGACTGGACCCAGCCTCTGCCCCCCAACCTGGTCCTTCTCTGTTGTTGCCTGTGTTGGTCGGGAGTACCACTCACCACCTGCTGTGCAAGTCTGAAACGTGGTGTCATGACTCTGATTTGCCCCAAAGCGCAAATGAGCTCAGCAAAAATGCTCCCCCAAATATGACCCTTTGGGATGACTGCTATCATGGCTGTGTGTGTGTGAGCACACACGCTTTGTATTTCTGTTGTGTGTAATTTCCCCACTGCTTGCCCCCTCGGCTAGTCTGGCGAAAGCCTGGTCAAGCCCCAGATTTCAGTTTATATAACATTCTTGACCACTGTGTCCCACCCAGGTGGGGTCAGGTGCACACACATCCTGTGGCTGCACATAGCACGTCCATCCGTCTATCCGTCCATCTGTCCATCCGGCATGGATTTCTATTGCATGCGTCTCCCCAGGACTGCTGGCTTGCTGAGGGCACAGGCCACGTTTGTCTTGTTCACCAAAGGCAGGTGTAGAGAGTAGGGGACAGCTCTGCAGAAGGGCTGGAAGCGGGTGGAGGCACATTCTTTCCTGGAGATCGGGGAAGAAAAGCATATATAATATACAGTTAAGGTGATAAATTGGATTTTTTTTGGGTTCCCTGCTTACCACTGTCAAGCGTAATCTATTTCATGCATTTGTACAGAATGCATAAAATAGGTCAGATTTCATTTTCTGCAGGTTGCATATTTTCGCCCCAGTTCCCTGGGTAGACGTGGAGCCCAAATGGAAGTGGAAAGGCTGGGAGACGTGTGCTTAGGGGAGGTGGCCCTAAAGGGTTTTGCATGCTAGGCGCGGGAGCTGGGTGCCCGGGGGCGAGAACAAACTCAGAGGAGGCAGTGAGATATTTGGGCAAGAAGAGTGTGGCATTTGCAGGTGGTCAGACAGGAACCCCGGCTCGGCTGCATCATCCTGGGGCTTGGGTTTTGCTCCGTTCCCTCCTCTAAGAGCTCTTCCCTGACTTCCTCTCCTCTCGTTGTTCCCCCACTAATCCCTCCTGCGCTCCTGTCCTCAGCTGCACATGGACCAGCAGACGTCATCCCCAACGAGACAGACCTCTCCCTTGGCCTGGCTCGCCCCCTTCCAGCTCCCACCCCACCTTTCCCCTCCCACCGCAGCCTGGCTTCTCGAGGGTCCGCCGCATCCACATCTCCTCTGCTGCGATCACAGCCCCTCCTGTCCTGGAAGGTCTGGCTTCGACTGCCATACCCGCACCACCTCGCTCAGCACCACAAAGACTCAGTTGTGGCAGTTCCCACCCCTGAGCTCCAACCCTCTGAAAACTGGGCTCCACGGCATATTCGAAGGCTGAACCCTGCTTCCCTCCCCAATGGCTTTTCTTCCCTGGCGTCCATCCTGCCCCCTCCTGACCCACCTCCCTGGCCACTCCTTCTCAATCTGTTGGCCGGAACCTCCTCTTCTTGACACTGCACGGTCGGGGGACAGGTCCTCCAGTTCTGTCCTGGGCGCCCTCCCCCCCCCCGCCCCGTCCCTTCTGTCCACTGCCCACTGTGCCCTAGTCCCGTGGCTTTAAACCATGTGTGGTGGCCCCAGATTCCTATCTCCTGAGGTGATGGCCTCTCCTGTGGACTTCAGACAGGAATATACAGGAAGGCCCTCCCCCTTCCCTGGGGAGCTCTCGAACACGGTGTGCCCCAAGTAAAACCCTGCCTGGCCCTCCTCCCTGGGTTGAAAGAATGCGCAGACGAAGACGGCCCACGCCAGCGCCCCACTGCCCTCCTCCTCCGCAGCAGTGACCCCAACAGAAGTTCCAGGGTCACCCTTGCCAGGATCGCTCCCCCAGTTCTACAGGCCCCTCTCCAAAGTGTGTCTCAGAGCCCCTCACTCTCCCCATCTTCACCGCCGCTGCCTCCTGGGAGCCCTCACAGCTTTGACCCATGCTGCTGGGAGAGCCCGTTCCCTACTTTTCCTGGCCCCCGGGCTTGCTCCCCTGTGTTTCCCACACGGAAGAAAGATGTGAACTCCTCAGGATATGAACAGACCCAACGTAAATACCCTCTGTTTGAAACTCCCACTGCCTCTCCAGCATGTCCCTTTGTACCCTGGGGGTCAGGCTGGGCCTTGTCTCCCTCTCCAGGCTTACAGGAGGCCACGGTCTTCTCCCTCTGTGCTGGGGACGCCCCCTAGGTTCTCCTCCTCTCCTCCCTCCCTTGGGCCCTCACTGGTTCCTCCCTCTACCTCGGGCTCCTCCTGTGTGTGTGTGTGTGTGTGTGTACAATGGTATTAAACATTCTGGAAAGCATAGTGGAGGGCACCTGGGTGGCTCAGTTGGTTAAGCGTCCATCTTCCGCTCAGGTCATAATCTCAGGGTCCTAGGATCAAGGCCCATGTCAGGCTCCCTGCTTAGTGGGGAGTCTGCTTCTCCCTCTGCCTCTGCTGCTCCTTCTGCTTCTGCTCTCTCGCTCGCACTCTCTCTCTCAAATAAATGAGTAAAATCTTAAAATAAAGAAAGCATAACGGAAAACAGAAACACCTGGGTACCCACCCCCAGCTCTATTTAATTCCACAATGTCATGTTTGCTTTAGATTTTTGTTTCCTTAAATAAAGTAGTATGGAATCATTTAAAGTCCCGCCCCCCCCCACCGTCCTGTCTCCCCTCCAGAAGTAACCCCTGACCTTGGTATCCACCATTGCCATGTCTGTTTCTACACTTTCATGACACGTGTGTGTCCGTCTGCAATAGATAGTATTTGGGGCGAGTTGAAAGTTTACGTAAGGGGTATTTTATTGTGGGAGGACGGGGCAGGGCTTGGGCGATGGGTCCGTGCTGACCCACGTGGCTCTAGCTGTCACTCCCGCCGCCACCAGCCTTCTATCCGGTACATGGGTCTAACTACTGCTCCTCCTAGGATGGATAGTGTGCCACCTTCGGTTTTTGGCCATTCAGAACGCCGTGCAAAGAACATTTGTACACGTCTCCTTTGGCACGAATTTGTTTCTCCAGGGTAGACCCTGAAAAGCAGCATTTCGGAAGAGGAGCGCTGGTGCCTCTCCAACCTTGCCAGCAGGCGCCTGGTGCTCTGGGTGCACCTGCTGCGGACTGGGCGCCGTCAGGGCTGCCGCACTCGGCTTCGCCTCCAGGGAGCCCCACGCCGCTCGCCGGACCCGGGCCGCGCCTGCACCTGCCGGGGAGCCCAGAGGGCCGGACCGGAGACAGCCACGGGCGCGCTCCAGCCCTGGGTCTCTGCGGGACGTGGCCTCAGTCCTTCCCCCAACTAACTCCGTTCTAAGGTGAAAGCTGTACAAACCAACAACTTCCCCTCCTTGAGCTCAAACGGACAAGGCCCCGGGATGCGAAGACAAACACCGGCGCGCTTCACGGGCAGAGAGGACAATACAGGCATTTCAACGGAGGTATTTGCTTCGGACTTTCCTTTTGGGGAAATAAAACGTTCCAGAGTTTGCTTGAAGTTCTCCTCCCTAGGCCTTCACCGACTCCCCCCAAACCCAACGCTCCAGCCGGCTCCTGTGTTGAGTCTGGTGGGGCCTAAGCATTAATTTTATGAACTATGTCCGCATCTGGGTTTGCTTTTATTCACACGAATGGTTCTGTACCGCATCTCTGCAGGTTCCTTTCTTAAGTGCCCAACGCCGTTTCCGAGATAAACCTGTGTCGAAGCCCATATACATAGTTCACCGTCCATCCATTGTCCTAACATTTTTTTTTAAAGATTTTATGTATTTATTTGGCAGGCAGAGATCACAAGTAGGCAGAGAGAGAGGGGGAAGCAGGCTCCCCAATGAGCAGGAAGACTGATGTGGGGCTCAATCCCAGGGCCCTGAGATCATGACCCGAGCTGAAGGCAGAGGCTTTAACCCACTGAGCCACCCAGGCGCCCCGTCCTAACAATTTATTTCAAAATCGTTCTCAGGGTCAGGCCTTAAACCACACTGTACATACATTCCAGGACAGCAGATGGTTTTGCTTTTTGTTCATGCTCAGTTCTGAGCTCCTAAAAGTGTGCCTGACATGTAGTCGGTGTTCAAGACGTGGTGCTGGGTTTGATGAATAAATAAGCAGCCTCATTCATGGTCCCAGGCTGCTCACATGCAGAATTTGTCCAGAAGATACATACAGATATGAAGTGACTGGAACTTTCCTGTGAGCCAGCCACATCACTCTCCAAACCTATTGTACCTATTTGCATATCTTCCGGCAACATGAGAGTTCCCTTTCCCCCAGCCTTGGCAACTTTGGTGTTTTGAGACTTGGTATATGTGTGTGTCCAACCTGATATATATATAAAATCAAATCTTACTGCTATTTTAATTTGTATCTCCCTAACTCCTTTCTGATCCCCCCCCCAACCCCTGTCATGATTTCCTTTGTGGCTTCTGGGTTATCAGATGAGCAGAAATATGGATTGAAGTGGGTTGAAGGTCACCCTTAAGCTCTCAAGGGTACAGCCTGATACCTGCATGGGCCCGGAGCTCTCCTTGCAACCCAGCCTCCTTCCCTTCCTGGCGGGTTTGAGCACAAGTGCTGGTCCAGATCCAGGACCCGCAGGACTGTGGAATGAACTGCGGAGGCTGCCCCCCATCGCTGTCCCCGCCTGGTTCCGTCTTGAGCCCCTCAGGCTCGCAGGAGGGAGAAGAGGGCACCCTGGGTGCCCAGACTGGCTCATTATTCCCTAGGTCTCCCTCTGGGGAGCGCCAGCCGCAGGTGCTCTGGGGCTCAGGGTGCTTTGGTGTCCACGGCTGCCTGGGCTCCTCTGAGGGTCTGCGTGTTCCCTTGGTGGGGGCAGCCTTTGGGGACCCGGCATCACTCGCCCATGGCACACACCGTACCCTGCCCCTACTGGAGAACATGCCACCCGGTCTGCTTGGCTCTTCTGAACTTGACAGACTGACCACCACTGGGGCAAAAGAAGACAAGTTTGCAGGTCAGGGGGCAGACATAAGGGAGCCGGAGGTACAACTAAAGTAGAAAATTTGAGCTCACAGGGCGCCCATGGCTGGGGACCATGGGGACAAATACCATGGCCCTGGCCTGAAGGCAGCCTCGCCCCCCTCCCCCGCGGACCTTTGAATCGGGTAAACTGCGCGCACACCAAGACTTGAGATGTGACGCCAGTGAGCCAGCCAGGGCAGTGGGCACGCGGGAGCCCGGCCAACGGCCATCTGAAAGATGCGTTTCCAGCACGTGCAGATGACACTCTCTTGAGATCCTTTCCCAGTTGAAAAGCATTAAAAAGTCATAACCAGTGAGCCCAGAGGGCGAGCGCGGACTTAACAACCCCTTTACTTTCTTTGGCAAAGCATTAGAGTCATTAACTTGCAGCAAGCGGGGAAAGCAGGTTCTTACTTAACTCGTATCTTCTGAAAAGTCTTAAAAATCAGCCACATTGAGACTTTGTCTCTCTTTCAGTGCTGAATCATAAAGCACCATCCTGTCGCTCAGAAATGGGGCCATTCTGTCTGGGTGCAACTTAAGACCAATGGAGCCCAGCGAGCTGCCCTCGCTCAAAGGCCCGGGGCGTCTCCCCGCCGGAGATCGGATGTTAACTCTGACCCTTTGGTCCCTCCACCATCTGAGTCCAACCCTGTGTTTTCTGCTGCCCCTGGGAGGGGTTTTTAGCTCCTCCCAGCATCTACCCCCACCCCCGTGGCCACCCACTCACCTTGCCCACCTCTCTAAGCCGCCCTGTGTGGCCTCTGCACCTGACACAGACCGCCAGCGGTTTAACAACACCTGCCGTGTGTATAGATCCCCTCAACGCTACGATCCGCCTCTTACGGAAGGTGAACTTCCCCAATCTGACCGGACACCCTCCTCTTTTGTCTGTAATCACGGCTTAAGTATTTATGCCCTGGATCTTGGCATCATACTTGTGGGCGTGCACCTGTCACGTATCCCCCCTGCTCCCCCCACCCCCAGATGATGCATCTCCTGGATTTATCCTGCCCGGCTCTGCATCTCTGGCCAGTGGGTCCGGTGTCATGTGCATCTCGAGCGCCCGGGTGCCAGGCGTCGTGCTGGGTGCTAGCAGCCTGGGCACGGTCTTCCGACTCCGGCAGGAAAGGGAGACATTAAACGATGAGATGAATCATAGGTGAGCCAGGGCCCGCGAGGTAGAAGGACAGATGCTTTGGGAATATGTGTGAGTATGTGAGGGGGCGGTTGGAAACCTTTCCCCGGGAAAGGGTGTTAAGCTGAGACCAGTGGGGAGTGGGAGTTGGGAGCTGGGCAGAGTTGGGGACAAATGCCTCCCCAGCAGGCTGCCCTGACTGTCGTGCAGAGAGAGTCGAGGATGCCTGGCCGTGTGCAGGACTAGGGCAACTCAGCAGACTGGCTGGGCTGAACCTCACGCGTGCCCAAGGTCGTCAGGCCTGTGTCTCAACCGGCTCCTGTGAGCTGATCGCTGAGCTCTTGAGACATCCTGCCTGATAAGAAGTTCTCTGTGGACCTAGATCTTGGGCCAGGCAGATGGTCTGTGCTCACAGTGTGGTGGTGTATATGCCGGGCTGCTGGGGGCCATGCAGTATCAAGGCTGACCTCTGGGGCTGGAGCCTGAGCGCCTAAGGTCAATCTTGCAGGGGCTGTGTGCCCATGGACCCGCCCCCAACAACACCCTGGCACCCAGGTTCAGGGAAACTGCGCCGTTGGATGGTATTGTATGTTTCCATAGTCCTCGGGAGAGGTGTGTGTCCTTGGGATGCCCCTGGAAGCCCGTGCCTGCTTTGCTTGGACTCTGCCCCGTGCGCCCTTCCCCTTTGCTGATTATCATTGTGTCCTTTCACTGCAACGAGCCATTACTGAGAGTACGGCAGCTTTTCCGTGAGTCCCTCTAGCGAGGGTGGTCTTGGGGACCCCTACACGGGGAGAGCAGGGAGAACAAGGTGTATGGCAGAGGGAGGAAGGAGCTGGAGGAAGTGACTGGCTTCCTTGGGGCCTCACAGGTCATGGTCAAAATGGCATAGTTCTCTCTGTGGGCTTGACCTCAGTGTGGTTATTTAATCCTGTTCCACGGCCCAAGGCTGCATCAGCCCCAACTAGACCTCATGAAGTTGTCTACGGGAAACATGCCAGTTGGCGAATTTGCCTGGGAGTGGGCTTGCGGAGCCCAAGGGCACATAGAACCCACTGCAGGAGGTGAGGAGGAGGTGTCCCAACCCATGGGACAGCCACACCGAGGACTGTCCATATGTCTCACCTTGGGTTTGGAGCGGAGTCCCTACTCCATATATATCTGTTGGGAAGAGACAGCGGTGTCTTTAGTATAAATGTAGGAGGAGAATCCCAGAACCATTCACCTTGCTGAATCCTACATACTGAAAGCTCAGAGGTGACAGCACCAATTTGTTTCATGATCACATAACCATGGTGACAGAGTAAGTCAAGGGAAAAATAGGGTGGGAGAGTGGTTGAAGCAATTTAAGGAATTTATTGGCACAAAGGATTCCATTATCAAGGTTGCAAATAAGTCATGAACTTCAGGCGTGGACGTGTGCCGTGCCACTTTCTGCTTGCTTGGACGAGCATGCCACCCTCTCAAGAGTATGACTTGAATCCAAAATAGCCAGAGAAAAATTTAAAAGCAATGACAGAAGTGCTCATATAACTCACTTCTCAATCAATAGGGGACTATCGTTTTGATGGAGCGGGAGGTGTGGGGGTGGAAGCCTGTTGGGCTGGTGGCCGGGCTGGCAGGTCAGCACTCCCGCGTCAGAGCAGCACTGCCCATCTGATGGGGTGGGGTTGGTGATCCCAGGTCCCACTAACGGCCTGTGAGTCCCATTGCCTCGCTTCTGGGGGACACAGATGCTGCTGCGTACTTTGTAATGACAACGAAGTCTCGTCTCGGCTCCCAAGAGACAAGGCAGTTTATAGTTAGATAAACCCAGGTTTGAATCCTGTTCTAGCTACGTGACTGGGTGTGCGGCTCAAACCCTCCAGGCCTCAGTTTACTCATACGTGTACTAGGCGTTATAAGAAGACCTTGTCCGTAGGGTTGTTTGGAGGATTAAGTGAGATAATGTCTATAAAGCACTTGGCATAGTGCCTGGCATGCATTAAGGGCTCAAATAACAACAACAAAAACTGAAAGGATATTAGAGTTTTTAATAAATCATCAGACACAAAAAGACATTTGCAAAGGCTCAGTGCCATCCCCGTGTGCCTCCAGATTGTCATGCTGGGTGAGGACGACGTCTGCTCTGAGTTATGTAGTCGTGGAGGGGACGAAGTGACCTGATGAGTCAGCTTCACTATTCTGGACTTAAATGCTTGGGCTGCGTTTTCAAGCACAGCCCATAGCTCAGATGTGTTGGCTTTGGTGTCAGATGTTTACTCCCTGGGCTCCTAGGAGGGTGGAGAGAGAAGCCATCAGAGGCTGAGTTGGTAAGATGGCCCTTGATGCCAAGCTCTGACTATGAGGGCAGACTGCCCTGTGTCACTGGAGCCGGGGGGAGGTCCTGGCGGGAGGGACGTCTGGATGTGATCCCGGCTCTTTCACTGCAAGTGTGAAGCACTGGGCAAAGTCAGCCAGTTCCATAAACCTTAGTTTATCCCTGGAAAGGGAAAAATACCTGATCTGCAGAGTGGTTGTAAGGATGAAATGACACAATGCGATGATGTACATAAAAACACCTGCCCTGTGGTAGGGCTTCATAAACACGACGATTGTAACGGTCTAAGTAAACAAAGTACAGTCATGAACAAGGGCGAAACACATTAGTGGTAACTGGTGTTGTTTTGTGACAAAATGATCCTGTGAGACCAACTCAGTTTCCTTCTTGGAAAGAATGCGACACGGTCGGCAGAAGGTTGGACTGGAGGCTTGGCAAATGAGTGCAGTTCATTCTGGGAGAAAGTTGATGATTTGGATCAAATCCCGGCCCCTGTGACATGCTCATCCCTGGGAAGATCTGGAGGGGTCTTGGGGGGCGGGTAGGGGCGCTGTGCACGAGGAGTGGGTTTCCTTCCCCTGGGGGAGGACAGGGGAGGAGTCACCCCGCAGGTCAGGTCCTTATGTGTTTGGGATGGTGATAGGGTGCTGAGGAGGCTGAGCTCCAAGGGAGTTCTGGGGAGTGGCCACAATGCAGGCTGATCTCCGCAGCAGGAGGCTGTGTGCTGGGGACACATGCCTGGGGGCCAGCTACAGAACCTGGGGTCTCAGAGTGGCCGGTGCCCCTTCTGTCCTGATGCCAGTTGCTTGCGCATCAGAACACTTCTCTGGGAGAGGAACCAAGGAGGTGACGGCTGCAGCGCCCGAATGACACGGAGGGATGTCTTCCCTCCCGACAGCCTCCATCCGGCAGGGAACTCAAGTCACGTTGCAGACAACAAACATGAATGAACTTTGAAGACACAGGGGTGTGAGTCTGTGTCACTGCAGCTGTGTCCCCCGGCCGCTCATGGCAAATAAACCCTTCTGAATGTCAAGAGGTAATGGTGTCTGTCGACATCTTGAAAAGCCACCGGGTTGGAGGGGCGGGGCTGGAGCTGGGAACTGGGCACCGCTCAAGAAGGTGAGCGTTTGATGCTGTTTGGTCCTTTCTCGCCCACAAGACGGTGCATCCGAGGGAGAAATTCCCAAGCACATTCCCATGGGAAACGAAAGCTTATAGTGGCACCTGGTGCTTGTTGCTCTAATGTGGTTCTCAACTGGGACCAATTCTATCCTCCTGGAGGACGTCTGTCAACATCCGAGCACATTCTTGCTGTCACTTTTTTTTTGCGGGGGGGGGGGGTTGCGGCGGGGACATGCTACAGGCATCTAGTGAGCAGAGGTCAGGGATGTTGCTAAACACCACACAGTGCAGAGGAGACCCCACAGCAAAGAGGTCTCCAGCCCCAGAGATCAGCAGTGCAGAGGCTAACAGACCCTGGTGCGAGGCGCTGTGAAGGTCCTTTGTCAGTGGACGTGGCTCATTCCTCACACCCATCACCTCGGTGAAGGCAGAATGGGGAAGGGTCATGGCCAGCCTGGAAGCCATTGCTGCTGGCCGTGGATGGGAGAGGAGGTGGGGAGCAGGTGAAACATGTGGGGGTGGGGATGAACCCAGAAGGAGCCTCAGGCTCACCTCCCAAGGTAGATGAAGGAGAAGGGCAGAGTTTTTCATTTCAAGTCAACTCTTACTTATTTAAAAACCGATTTCCTTAAGCACATAATTATATGTTTATTTCCCGGAGGAACTCTTGAGGCAGCGGAGATCTGCTTATGGGGACGGAGGCTGCACACAGGGCTCTAATGGGGTTAGAAAAATGCTCTGTCTCCTTTGAAGGAGCCTTGGGAGGAAGGGAGGGAGGGAGGGCATTGAGTTCGAGGACTGGTTGTCTCACCTGCTGGGGCAAGAGCAGAGCTGAGAGGAACTCTGGGTGCAGCTTCAAGCCTCCGGCCTCTGGTTTCCATCCTGGTAGGCAGAGGGAGGGCATCCAGGAAGTGGGCCATCTGCATGCTTCCTGCCTTCACTTGCACACACACACACACACACACACACACACACACACACGTGCACGCTCCCCTTTGGAAGGGGCTGTGGGAGGCTTCCGGGGAGCAGTAGGTAGGGTGGAGGGACTTCAGTACCCCTCTATGCAGTACATCTCTGTGCTGCTTCCCACGTCTCTGTGGCAGCCTGTGTGCCTGGAATTGGGGGCTCCTCACACCCTCTGACCTGGCTGGGCTGGGTGGGGACTGAGGGAATAGGATGGCCAACTGAGTCCCTAGCTCTGACACACCTCGGAAGAAAGGGGGGGCATCTTACAGCCCGTCTCCCCCTCCCAGAGACATATGGTGAGACTCTGGCTGATATGATACTGTGTGTTGGACGGGGGCCGAGTTGGATGGGCAATGGTGCAAAGGAGAAAGATGAATCAGGAGCAGGTGCCTTAGACCTGCCTCTGGCCTAGGCGACACAGGATGGGGGCCTCAGGGGGACCCTGGCCTCCTCCAGCTCTGTCTCCCCTGCATCTGGGACGCACGTCTCTCATAGTGCCATTGTCTGGGGCTGGACCCGGTGTGTGCCATCTCCTCCAGGAGGCTGAGTCATCGCGCTGGGCTGGGAAGCCTCCGCACCTAACAAAGCCCGGTACGCACAGATGGGCACTCGGTCGGCAGTTCCTGATGCATTTCTACCTTGTCCAGCCGCCTGCCATGGAACAGACTGAAGTTACAGCAAAGAGAGTCTGTCCAGCTGGTCTATCCCACCCATCCTGTCTCTCAAAGCCCAAAGCGTGGTGCTAGGGCTGCTAGGATGGGATCCAGCTGGGAGTGAAGGTAACAGCTGAACCATGGCCAAGAGCTGTGGCCCTCAATGTCTGCATTCACCCACCAAATATCCTCTCGGCACAAGCACCCCGGCTGGGTCAGTTCCAGCTCAGTGTGAGGTGTGGGGCAGCATAATGGGCCACTGTTCACTCGGGAGTGGAGCAGCCCACGGCTGGTGAGGGGCGCCCAGCCCTTGGGAGCTGGAGACGGTGGTTATCTGTGAGCACCAGGCCTTCTCGGTCTCGAGAGGGCTAACAGATGCCACACAAGGGGGCAGAGGGGCCTTGACTGGGGTGGGGGTTGTATCCCCAGGGGCTCTCCTGGTCTGTTGGCATCAGAGACCTGGGGCTGCTGGGAATTTGTGCCCTTTTCATTGGCCAGCTTTCCTGGAGACACATCAGAGATCATCAGAGAACAGAGTCTCGGCATCTTTCAGAGGCAGAGGGTCTGCCTACCCTCCACTTTGCAGAAGTGTGGCCTTGGGCCTGAGGCTTAGCTACCTCACCCACAGGACAGGAAGGGCCCTGATGGCATCCCCAGGTCACAGGGCTCAGGGGAGGCTCGGAAAGCCGGGTGCTGTGCACTGTGGGCTGGTTATCAGAAGTTATTTATTCAGGGAAGCAGAGGAGGGAGCCCCCTGCCCCCCAGTGTGGCTGCCCCGTCTCTTCAGTCAGGACCTGCCTGCAGGGAACAGCTGCGCAGTCTCCCAGTCTCCCCGGCCAGCAGGAGCGGCAGGGCTGAGCGCTTCAAGGGCCTGTCCGCGACTCGGGGCCCCTGAACACGGGGGTCAGGGCCTGGGGCGCAGACCGGAGCTGAGGCCCTTTATTTAGTCCGCTGGTAGAACTGGAAGACGGCTTTCTCCTGCTCGTAGGTCTCGATGGAGCCAGGTCGGAGGCGCCGGATTTCAGCGATGGCATCCCCCGCGGCCAGACCCCGCTCCTTCACCAGGTAGCAGGCAAGCATGGTGCCAGTGCGCCCGAAGCCCAGGGCGCAGTGCACCCCTACTGCCTGGGAAGAGGGAGCTCGGTGGGGTGGAGCCCGACGCCCTCCCGGGGGGCCCCATCTCCTTCTTCCCACACCTGCTTCTTCTGGGTCAGGCCCAGGACCTGGCAGGGGTCTACGGCTCTCAGGGGCATCACAGTCAGGGAGTGTCGTCCTGCGCCTGGCGGCTTGGAGGCCGCCGTCACCTCCCTTGTAGTTGGTTCAAGGGCTGGGCCCCTAGGCTGCCTGCCCCAGCCCTGGGCCGGCTTCTTTTTGGTTTAGAAACGTGGCTCCCGTCTATCTGGACGGCGCGAGGCTCCGGAAAGCGCGCGGCGGCCTCTGCCTTCCAGCCTCTGCCCGCGGCTCCCAGCGCTCACTGCTTCCCTGCGGCCTCGCCCGCGGCCCGGGTCCCCAGGCTCCAGTTGCTTCCCCGCGGGCCCCGCCCCTGCAGGCCCCGCGCCCCGCCTCCGCCCCGCCTGTCCCCGCCCCCCGCTGACCCGCAGGCCCCGCCCCGCCCGCTGACCTCGCCGCGCGCGCTGGCCTCGTCCACGATGCGCACGAAGCGGTCGATCTGCTCGGGGGCCGGCGGGCAGAAGTCAGGGATGCGCAGCCGGTGCAGCGTGAGGCCGGGGCAGCTGTCGCCGTGCGGGGGCCCGCGCTCCGTCAGGGACACCAGGTGCCGCACGCCCTGGTCCAGCAGGAACTGGTAGTGCGCGGGGAGCCGCGGCAGCGCCAGCCCCGCCAGCCGGCCTGGGAGCACCCACGAGAAGTTCGGCGGCTGCGCGCCCATGGCTACGGCAGGACACGCCGGCGCGCCGACCCCGCTCCTCCTAGCCGCGCCCGCGCCCTGGGACACGTGGGCTCGGCGCCCCGTCGGGCGACGCCCCGCTCCGCCGCGGGGATTGGCTGAGCCGTCTCGGGGGCGGGGCCGGAGCGCGGACACCGGAGCTCTGAGTGACAGGACGGGCGCCGCGACCCGGCCCCGGTCCGGAGCAGCGCACTCGTTGACTGGTTGGATCTCAGGACTGGGCGGGATTACCGCAGCGGTGCGCACGGGGATTGGTCGAGCTACCCAAATAGCGGGGAGGCAAACCCGTAGGGAAGGAAGAATTGCCTAGTGCGGAGGAGGCGAGCGGGGTCGGGCTCTGCTGCTCCCTGGCGGCCGGTGGCGGTTATTACACCAGCGTCCATGGCCCTTGCTGTCCCCGGGCCTGGCCTCTTGGGAGTCTGACTTCCTTCATCGTGGACGCCCAAGGGTTTCCTCCTCTGGGGGAAGAACCGTCTCTACGGTGACTGACTGGTCCTTGTCAGTGACTTGGTGAACCTGTCCAGTAAGGGCGGTCGCCACTGTGCGGAGGACTATTCTCCTTGTCCTTGGCTGGGATTAGTCAGAAATACTGGCTGCATCTGCTGCCCTGAAGTCCTCCCCGGGGTAGTAATCACAGTCCAGTGATGATAACGACCCACGACACAGAATGAACGTTTAGTGAGCAGTCGCTATATGCCAGACACTATTCTTAGCACGTTACCTGTGTTGACTCATTTAACTGCCACAGTAATCTGATGAGGCAGGTAATCTAATCCCCCTGCTTTTTTTTTTTTAAGATTTTATTTATTTATTTGACACAGAGAGATCACAAGTAGGCAGAGAGGCAGGGAGAGAGAGGGGGGAAGCAGGCTCCCCGCTGAGCAGAGAGCCAGACGCGAGGCTCGATCCCAGGACCCTGAGATCATGACCTGAGCTGAAGGCAGAGGCTTAACCCACTGAGCCACCCAGGCACCCCTAATCCCCCTGCTTTACAGAGGGGAAACTGAGGCTCCAGAGAGGTTCGGGGACTTGAGCAAGGTGAGTCATGGTCTGGGGACTTGAAACCAGACAGCCTGGCACCGGCATCTTTAACGCCCAGTATTGTTTCCTAAAGTTGAATGGAAGGGAAGGATGCCGCCTCTTCACAGGGCCGTCCTCGCACTCCCAAATATCATCTGTGTTAAACTGCAGTACTTCTTAATTTCTCTTAACATTTCATGACTTCCATGCTCTCACCCTGCTGTGGGGAGACCAGAGTTCCTCGGTGTTGTTAGTAGAATGTAGGGACCTAGCTCTGAACTCTGTGTCTTGGCTGGGATCTGACCTCCCTGGGTCCTCATTTGAAATGTGCTTCTAGGGATGCAGACTAATTATAATTATGAAAATAGTTAATCCTTGTTCAATTTGCTTGTGTACCAGGCCCTGCGCCAAGGGCTTTCCGAAGAACCACACGTGGACGGTCTTTTTGTGTCTCTTTGGTCCACACGTAATCTGAGGCTTAGACAAGCTGGTTAACTTGGCCAAGGACATGTGACTCGTTCGTGGCTGGGCTGGCGAGCCAAGGCCTGAGTCCAAGCCCAGGGCACTTAGCTGTAAAGACACTCCTCTTCTCCTGTCTCCACCTGCCCCTGACACACATTTGACCACTTAAAGATCTGGTTCCAGTAAAATGGAAAGGAATTTTTCTTCCCCCAAGTTCAGAGGCTCCTCTGACCCTGTAAAACTCCACTTACCAGGTGCCCAGATGAGGCTGAAGCATTGCCTCCACCTACACCTTGCCAGGTGCCAGGAGCCAGGAGCTCTGTGATCCCCCCTTTCCTCCCCTTCCCTGCGATCTGAGCCTTGGCACTCCCACTTCCACCAACTCCTGACCAGTCTTCTTGCCCATCCATGTCCATTGTTCCCCCTCCTTGCCTGCTGTGGCTCCCAGGGTCGCTGGCTGTGTGGACTCTGGAGACAAGACTCTGGCATGTGCACCTTTCAAGTTGAAACTTTCTTGGTCATTTTGTCTTACTCTTCTTTCTTTGCTGCCTTCACTCCCCACACCCTATGCTGCTTCCTTTTCTCCTTGAGATCTACCTCAAAGCCTGTCTTCTTCAGAGGGAAGACACTTCTGGGGAGGGGGGTGGAGATTCTCTTCTCCCCTGAGCCCCTAACTGTGACTTTCCACTTGTGCAGTTTCTTGCAGGGGAAGAAGTGCAAACTTCCACCTGCCTGGACCTCCTTAGAGAAAGGTTAGTTGGGTCACACTGTAGGAACTTTCTCTGCCTTTGGCTCGGGTTGTGATCTCAGGGTCCTGGGATCGAGTCCCACATCGGGCACCCTGCTCAGTGGGGAGCCTGCTTCTCCCTCTCCCTCTGCTACTTCCCCTGCTTGTGCGCATGCTCTCTCTGTCAAATAAATACATAAAATCTTAAAAAAAAAAAAAGGAATTTCCTTCTACTCTACAGCTGTGTCCTTTCCTTTCAACAGAGCCTGGGTGAAAAGGGCCCAGCGTCCTTGCCTTGGGCTGTGTCCCATGGTCAAGCATGCTATTTAATTTTTTGTCTTGGGTCTGGGGAGTTTTGAACTGGAAAGAAATCCCCCTTTGATGTATTTTGGCTCAGACTTCTGTGATTTAACCATGCCGGAGCTCTGCATACCCCTCTCCCAACTCAATACTGATCTTCCTTTCCTTTCTCCTCTGTAGAGTGTTACCAGACCCTCAGGAAGATTTAGCCTTTTTCTGTGCTCACTTCTCCCAGGAGTGGAAATATGTACTCCCAGGAAACTGTCATTTCATTGGATTAGGGTTACCTCTTTGTGTGGGAGCCAAGGCTGCATTGTTCCATCTTTGAATTCCACAAATCTAATGCACGGTGCTCAAAAATGTTAAAGGAATGAATAAATGAAGAAAAAAAAGGAATGCAGAGGGGAGACTGCACATGCACATTTCTGGGGGTGTATGTGATTGTCCGGCACTACAAGACAATGTACGATGGCTTGCTTCTTCCACGCACGAGCGCGTGGGCTGTGTTGGATGTCGTGTAGCACCTTCTCAAGGGGCACATTTTACCTGTCTGTGCTTTTAAGGAAAGAATGACTGTGTCAGTATGATCCTGGCTGCGTCTGATGGCTATTTTTGTAAAAAAGGATCAATAAGCCTTGCTCTTTGTCAAGCTCCTCTTTGGTTGTATGGGTGTGAGTGATTGCGGGTGTATGTGAATGCATGTGTGTGTGTTGAGGGAGACACACACATTCCTGGAGAACCGTCTGTTGACACTGACGCTGAGCCGAGTAATAAGCTGAATGTCCCTGACTTGAAGGAGTTTACAACGTACTGGAGAGGGTTTAGACTCCAGTGTAATTGTTCTCATAACATATAATAAAGCACTAAATTACTCATCAAAGACAATCAGATAATATGTATTAAAAAGTTAATTATGCAGTAAAAATAACAAGTGCTAAAGAAGTCAGTGGGGGAAAGATAAGCTTGGGTTAGAAGGGCCAGAAAAGTCCTATGAAGACAGGAGTCTTCCCGTGTTCTGGTTGTTCTGTCTGCTGTGAAGCAAGAGAAGTAACTTTCCTTGACAAGCTCAACAGTACAGTTTTGGGAGAATCCTAGCCCCCTCTTTTCCAGTCCATAAAAATATTTTGACCTACTTCTGTTTCATGTTGAGGTCCCAGTTTCCAGACTGGCTTGATGCCAGTGGCAGTTAGAAGGGAAGTCAGAGTCAGAGAATTCCTCGCTCCAACCTGCTCTCTGTGTCCCATCAAGGCAAAGGATTGCTTAGGGCTGAGTTCCTGGGCCCTTGGACTGTAGTCAGAATTCTCAGTGTCTTAAGTATGCTGATCCTCCATTGTGTAAACACATTTCACACCTGGAACCTGATGATTTGGAAATTGGATATGAAAGGGGGGTGGTGTGAGGTCAACCTCCAAGATGGCCCCAGTGAACCACCTCCTGCCTTGTCTGGTCTTCTCCCACACTGATAGAAGTGTAACTGGCAAGATACAGTGGAAGTGATGGTGTGTGATTCTTAAGTTATGTCATACAAGAGCTTGTGGTCTTTGCCTTGGAGAAGCCGGCTGCCATGTTGTGAAAACACTCAAAGAGTCTCTTGGAGACAACTGTGTGGTAGGGAACTAAGCCTTCATACCAATGTCACGTGAGGGAGCTAGCTGTTTTGGAAGTGGATCCTCCAGCCCCATCAAGACCTTAGATGGCCAGAATCTGGACAGTAGCCTCACAGATTCCCTGAGCCAGAACAACTCAGCTAAGCTGCTCTTGGATTCCTAACCCACAGAAACCATGAGATAATAATTATTCATTATTTGAAGCCATCAAATTTTGGGGTAATTTTTATGCTGTGACAGGTAACTAATATGAAGGGACTATTCAGATAGAAGAAAGGAGGAGAAATAATTTCTGATCAACTCAAGAAGTGGGAAAAGAACAGCTTTGTTTTTGCACGAGAAAGGTATACCATAAACAGCTGTGGTCCAAGTGTGCGTACGTTTTTTGGGGATGAGAGGCGGTGATAGGTCGGTGCAAAGTTCCTACATTTGGAGAGTTGTGCTGTGCAGAGGGTGGGGGCAGACAGCTTGACTGTGGGTTTTGTGTGTGTGTGTGTGTGTGGTGTTGCAGCTATGGGGGTTTGTGTGATATTCATATAGTGAGGGATAATATACACACAGGAAGTAGGCAATACAACGGACCCTTCACCAATCAGTTCCATTGCTGTAAACGAAGAATGGAGCCATCCTGCCATCCCTTGCATGGCCGTCAGTGTGGAGTGTGGAGGCTTTGACATGATCTGGGTGTGGCCAGATTTCCTTGGACATTTTAATCTAGGTCTTTCCACAAGATGGCACTGATAGCTTTTCCTTGTTTCTCCTTGTTGTTAGCTGAAAAATCTGATTTGTACCCCACTACAGAGCATTCCATGACTGAAATCTTGCAATTGACCAGTTGATGTCTTGTATTTCTGACAATTCTGTCACCTTCGTGGCACCTAAATTTTTCCCTG